AATCCTACAGAAGCACAGCATGCACTCACCACTGGTTTCTGTCATCCGATCTGGCTCCAGTGACAAGATTACACTTCTGTTGCTCCTTTGCCAACCATCCCTGAGGTAAACAAGAATATGGTTATAAACATCCATCTCACAATGGATACGATTCTGTGTGACAATCAGGCAAGTCATGATATATAATATGATGGAGCTCAGGAAGATGTGAATTGATCCAGATAGGGGCGAAATAGTTATATTCAGCATCACATGAAATGCAACTCATGTGAACTATAAAATCATCATTATTCACATCTCCAAAGAAACGTTTCGATATTAACAAAAGCCAACATTTTGCTGAAGTACCACAAGTAGCATCTAGTAATTCTAGTTGTTTAACCAATGTTATATCCTAAATTATAAAATAAAGTCCCACAGAAGCTCTAGCTACACTCACCACTGGCTGTCTTCATCCGATATGCCTCCTCCAGCAATATTAGGGCTTTTATAGCGTTCTCTGTTTACTAGTTCCAGCACCCCCTAAAGAACACAACAATACCATTAGAAGGTACACATTCTTATACACACAATCCTGCACGGTAACTTGCACCAGATCTAACCGCATGACGATATATAGAGCTCATAAGATGTGAACGATCAGATAGGGGCGAAATAGTTATATTCAANAGCCAAGACACTGGTGGTGATTTTGGACCGATGAATCAATCCTTCACCATGCCTGCTCACCGTGACCCGTTCTGACTACGGCTTCCTGTTATCTCGAAGGACTCTCAAACTTCGCGATGCCCAGTACACCCAACCTTCTCTGTTGATCTCCAACTGATATCAGACTTGCATGCCTAGTCTGGACAATTGGAAAGACCTCCAGCCGCTGGACCAATCTTATACTTTACCGGGCATGATGCACACTCTCATGAGTTTCCTGGGCTGTATAGGAGGAAGGTGCTGGAGGTCATGAAGGGACCATATCGACGAGCGTCCGAGCAAGGTGCTGTGGTGGTCAAACAGTGTTTCAGTGTTTGTGCCCATCCTCGACATCGCCATGGAAGATATGTACAGTGGAAAGCTGGTGGGATGTACGAGAAGCCACGTCGTCGAGTGGATAGAGAGGAGAAGAACAAGCACAAGGAGCAGAAGGAGAGGAAGAAGAAGACTGGATGAGGTCGCATCGGAAGAGAAGATCTGGAGGCAGAGCTGGGACGGGGAAGTACACTCACCCCCTCAACGTGAGCAGATCCAGGTCTCCTATAACCTCATGCAATGCCAAGTGGCGCCGACACAGTGAGATGCTCAGGACTCGCACATGACTATCGGTGGAGGTGAGCCAAAGCAAGGCAGTTTTCTGCTTCATAGAGTAGTGACTTTCACAAAACCGATAAAGAAATGGTCAGATCTAGTGGAGGCCACTCATAGAGGCAGTCACTGTCAAGGGAAAGCATCTACCGACATTCGGAGACACTGTTTAGTCGGCTGTTGGTCTTGGGCAGCAGCGGAGCGTGATCTATCCTAACATTCTTCCGTTTGAACTGAGATCCAGTGCCCACATCCCTGATTGATGAGTATCGGATTTGAGGATGGGCAACAAGCCGCGTGCTCATCATAGTGTCTCGCGTGTTTCTGTTCAAGACTCCACCTGCCCTCAGAAGTGGTGTTGTGTTGACGCGGTCGAGCTGCTGCTACCACGTTGTGTGGCCAGTCGCTGCGACGCCAGGAGACCTGGCTGCAAGCTTTGGTTGCTCGCACTCGCCCACTACGCCCCCTGGCCTCAAAGAAGAATAGCTCACATGTTCGACAGGTATGACAAGTGAAGCTCTAGCTCGCAAAGAGCATGAGCAGATGAGAAGAGTGAGCAACCCAGAGGATAGTGCCGGCTTACCCAAACACACCCCTTCCGACGGCCGACAAGCTATTCCGTTCACATGCCCGAACAAGAGTTCTGGGCCTCAACAGAACGATCCTATGCGGTCTACTCTCTTCCTCACAACATCAGCGTTGTCAAACAAGCTGGACTGTGCTCGTCACCGCTGCCTGAGGCAGACATCACTCTCTGCAGCTACATGCTGAAGGCGGCAGCCAGAGATGCCCGACAATCGATCCTCAGTGACTGACAACAGACGTCTTCGATCCTGCCTGGTGTACTGGAATCATAGGGATGCGGTTCATTGCCAAGGATATTCAAATGGAAAAGTGAATGGGCGTGATGTCCTGGATATCAACAAAACTGTTGAGCGGTTAGGCCAGAAAGTGCAGCCACCTTCTACGGATGTCCGATGCCGCTGTCAGGCTGCGATACGGTGTCGTACCCTTCGGGAAAAGGAAACAGTCACGCACTCACACGCTTCGTGGAGATTGATATACCAGGTTCCTGGATCAATGTGCTTGGAGACGCTTGGCGCGACCCATGCCCTCACTCAAAGCGACAGCAGGGCACATAAAAAAATTAAAACCTCTTCTTCCCTCTCTACGGACAGAAAAGTTGTGACCGGACAATGAATGATGCACGTAACTCGCTCTACCGCAGCCATGAGAAGCCGCCCCACCAACTGGAAAGAAACTGCCCACCGACTGACGTCAACTGCCAGCCTGCAATTGTTGCTCCGAACTCACCTTCAGATGCTACTGGTGGAAGCCAGCAAACCAACGCTGCCAAACCTGAAGAGAGCGTCTACAGTTTAGCCAACTTTGGTGCGAATTATCAAGGCTCCACCATTCACACCGTCATCGTCGAGGGCGCCGCCAGTTGCTCTCCCCAAGCCGCTCGCTGTGATGTAGTGAGCTGCCAGCTGCAGCGCAGAGGCAGGCATGCACGGGGCAACGTTTGCAGCTGCCAACCGTGCAGCCTTTCATGCACAGACTATTTGCCAAGTGCGCAGGGAGAGATCGCCTGTTTGTAGTCAATCACGAAAATCAGTGACACGTTAGACAATGAAGATGGAGCTAGGGTGTAGATGACGACAATGACAATTGTATGATGATGCGGATTGCCAGCGAGTAATTGAGGATGAGAGTCATAGAGGATGTACAACTCTGTTTATTGTGTACTGTTTAAAAGGCCAGTTGCCTTATTTTCTCGTGAATTTACATTAAAGTGTCTTTTTGACCGGTTGACTTTGGTTTTTGACCTTGACCTTGACCCCATATCTAACAAATAACTCCAGAAATGCGACTCCCTCCTCGAAAACCCCCTAAAAAGAGGTATTGCATGACACTTCTAGGGCCATCGAGATCACAAATTGTAAATTGACCAAATCCAGCCCTCCGAACCCAAGGAGAGGCCGGGCCCCGAGATGATCAAAGACGGGGCGGGCCGCGAGCGGAAGCGCCGAGTGGAGTGACGACGCCAGCGGCCATCTTGAATTCCAAGAAATGCTCAACGATGCACAGGGTCAGCTAACCAAGCTAAATCAGCTCTCTCCTAACTATTATAGAACACATTTCCTGATGAAAAAAGTTCAAAGTAATTAACATTGCAGGGGTCAACATTTGTTGCCCTTGACTTATAAGCGTCATTATACAACATACTAGTTTAATGTGAGCAGGTTAAACCATTACCTCATCCAATCTTTTTGCCTGGCTAGTGGCGCCCTGCATTTTGTTCAACTCACTCTAGCTATCATCGTACCAGATCGTGTTCTGCAACCATATATAAACAAAATAATTCATCGATCATGGATTGGCCTGAGGAAGGATATTCCATGAATACATTACGCTGGGAAATATCATTATTTAGAACTCGGCTAAAAAAAATTATAAGCCATGGACCTGAACCGGATAGCTCAGTAACTGCACACGCCTCAATAATTACGGGAACCACGCGTCTATGGCACTTCAGACTTGAGTTATCATCGCTTGACATCAGTAAGAGAGTTCAAGTATAATGTGTAATCATCACAAGTGCCTTCGTACACTCGCACAAAATCTATAAAAATCACAATTATTCACATCTGTTCACTGCACAGCATCATCCGAGTGGATATCATACTACATACTACAGCTTAATATGTGTAGGTTGAACCATTACCTCATCTAAACTCCAACGTTGTTGTACCGGCCTGTACTTGCTGAAACATCATTCACAACCAGCATCACCAGATCATGTTCTGCAAAACCACAATATAAACAAACTTCATGAACAGTGAATGGATAGGAAAGATATTCCATGAATACATTACGCTGTGGAAAATTGTAAACCATAGACTGAAGCGGATAGCTCAGTAACTACACACGCCTCAATAATTACGGGAACACGGCTGGTTTATTTGGGCACTCACGACTTGAGTTATCATCGCTTGACATCAGTAAGAGAGTTCAAGTATAATGTGTAATCATCACAAGTGCCTTCGTACACGCATTTATAAATAAATATGTAGTGTGTAGTGTAATGTCACATACTCACCACCACAAAAAGGTTTCCAAATGCACAGTAGATGCACCATATCAATCAACAATGTGCAGCCTCTCCTGTAAAGATGGGTGGTCTCTCGTTAAAAAAAACAACATTAACCGCACGGACAAATGTAGCTTCTACAGAAAACTACGAAATCCAATGAATAAAATCAAATTCTACATTTGCACACATACAACTTACTCTTGAAATGCACAGTACAATACACACAAACAACAAATATGTAGAAATTTAACTCACATACCTGCTTGAGATTTCACATCACCAATGGCCAATGTCCGAAACTGGACGACTCGCTCACCTGGCGCATTTCTGCTACCAATCATCCAAACATGGACACTCACAAGAAAACAACCATCCAAAGATTGATGGGAACAAATGAATTACCCCATGAAAACGGATTGGGCAATACGAGACCCACGGGTAGAGCTGCTGTGCACCCCCTCATCCCCGTAACTTTACCACTTGTAATCTCAATCAGTTTTTGATCGTAGGTAGTAAATGTGAGGTACTACTAGTACTACTATTGTGGGACTGTCTGGAGGTCTACATAAAAAAACACAAAACGCGACACGCACACACAAACAAGAGATTCTCACACAATATTTTATTTTATTCGCCCCGCTTCAGTTCTGTACAGTAAATCTAGCCGACCTTCTGCGCTAGTTCTCGTGCCTTTGCCTTCTCGAGCTTGGCAACCCGAGCGACAGACTTGTGACCGTGCTGACCGCCTCCCCAGTGTCTGCGGATCTCATCGAAGCGATCATTGTAGTTCGTCTTCACGGCCTCCGACAGCTTGCTTAGACTGGCCCGGTCCTCGCTGTAAAGCAGGAGAGCACCAATGGCAGCAATTGTTTTTCCGGGATTCGCTTTGAAACACGGGTACATTTCGTCCCGACAGGGCGTTTGCTCATAAAGAAAGATGTCTTCAGATGTTGTTCAGGTGAAGAAATTCTTTTGTAAAAATAATCACTGCAAACTGTCGGAAGAACTATCGGTTTGTTCCAGTAAAATAGCAACACATAATCTGTGGCATTCATGCATTAGCTCAGTTATATTAAACCAGACGGAATAATACAAGCAGTACACACACTCATTCATTCCTTCACTCGGTTTTATAGTGCCAAACGAATAGCAATGGCACCCACACTTGATGAAGAGATACTGTGTAGCAATTCTTTCTGTCGAAAAATACAGCGACTGGTCGAAAGATGCATCATGCTATACTCACGGATTGATGGTGGCGATTGCCAGGCACGTCGCCGTCTTCCTGCCAACCACACACCCGAGTCTTGCCTTGCCCTTCACAATGCAGTACGGAACACCCATCTTGCGGCAGAGTGTTGGAAGGTGCACCACAATCTATCAAGACCAACATATCACTGAACAAAAAACAAGAGTTATACCGACAGGGTATTTTTTTTTTTACAAAAGGTTAATAAAGGGGGGCTTATGTCAGGCTTGCGAGCCGACTCGACTGGAAGCAACTGGCTGCAATTCACTGCGACTGCAGTGCTTAGGTCGGTCGACTGCGACGCGCCTGCCTGCGACTGGCCGCCACTAGTTGCTAGGAATAGAACAGTGGGCAACTGGACGCAACTAGTCGCTGCCGATCGCTTCTAGTTCCTCGAAATCCAGTTGCTTCCAGTCGAGTCGCCTCGCAAGTCCGACATAAGCCCCACTTAAAGGTTAGGGACTGCCAAATCTGAAGATATAATTGATCCCCATGTGAGAAACAGAGGGATGCATACACAACATGGAATATACATGAAGGACATGGATCCAGTTTAGTGCTGTGGGTTTCGTCGAATTTCCAAGGGCACTGTACCCGTGGCGATGAAGAGGGCAAACACCAGTCACGCGTCGCAAAACTACACAAGCGAGACATTTGGGGGTCGAGTCACCACCGCGCGCTAGGACTCTATAATCGCTTAGGTCTAAGAAAAAAGTTTGTTTCTGCTAACGAGCTGAAAAAAATTGGACACGGTAGGCAGGCAAAATTTTTTTTTATCAAATATATATTATTTTTCTTTGTATTCTAACAATACTTGTTTTATACTTTAATATAACAGTCCATATAATGACTTCAAAGTCAAATCAATGCATTCACCGATCGATAGCACATTGGGATTTTTTTTATTTAAAAAGAATATTTTTAAAATATTTTTTTTGCCGATCACAAAGTTTCGACACGGCGGTTTAAAATTGACTCGATCGGGTTAGCGAAAACAAACGTAATTTTTTAGGCCTTACCTCGATCGGTTCAACGTCGT